AAAAAAAAAACAAAAAAAAACATCATATCCGTTTTTTTGTTAGTTGTCGAAAAAAAGGAAATTTTTCGGAATTCGAAAATTTAAAACTTCACTAAAACGCCGCCAAACTGACCATTTCTCCCACCCTGCAGAGTTGTCATCGAAAATTCCCCAGATCCGAGTTAATTCCCAAAAATTCCGTGCATTTGTTCGGCTGCTGAGTCAATGCAAATAAAGGCTGTTTATGCAGATAAGTGAGCCCGTTTGTCAACCGTATAAGTTGAAAAAAAATTTCGAATAGTTGAGCGAGTTTCGCAGAAGTAAACATTCTTTTTTTTAAGCGAAAAATGTATTCGGAAGGGCTCACTATCATTCCATAGGGGCTTAGATGGAACCTAGTTTCCGACTACCATCAAAACCAGGGGGAACGAAGGTAGGGGTTTTGGGGGTTCATAAAAAAATCTACACCCAAAATTTGTTTCGCAACATAAATGTTAAAATATAACTGACAGACTTAACTTTTTTCTTTCATATATAGTAATACGGCTTAATAGCTCTGATCCAGTACTCCATGAACTTACAGGTTTTAACACAAACTTGCTGGAAGTTACAGGATAAATGATCCCATACTCCAAATTCCTCAAAAATCCTGTAAATGAGAGTGCTATTTGGAGAGTGTTTAAAATCATGAAAAGTGTCAAGCCATCACTGGTTGACGTTTTTACAGGAAAATGCTTTTTTGTTCCCGTCCTTTTTGGTTGTTACTCACTTTGTACTCTCACTTCAGAGAGAAATTTTGCTGTTTCGACATTTTAACAGGATTTTACACGAAAAGTATTGGATCAGAGCTAACGTATATGTTTATTGAATTTAATAAAATAACAAAAAAAAATATGTTTGAAAGTTTGTCCTTTATTTACACTTCGAAAATATGGTTACCGTGGGTATCGGCTTGATTTGAAGCAGCTAAGAAGAAATATGGGTGTAAGTAATTGAGAAATAATATTGATAATCTTGTGCCCAGATAAAGTTTGGAAGCGTAAGGCTGACTCTTTCATAATTTTATTTAACAAGCTGCACGCAGACGGGTTGTCAAGGTAGACTTTCCAGCTTAGAGGAAAATAGAAATTTGTTGGAAAAAAGAAACTAGTTATCTACGTCTTAGCAACACACAGAGTCGCTAGGTACTGAAACACACATCTTCTTTGTTTACTTAGGAGCCAACATATTGAACACCAAGAGCAATCTTGTCAAGAACTTATACTTGGAGTCAGAAATTGAAAAATAGATTCCCCCTGTTTTGTGTATATGGCAAAGAAACAAGGATGATTTCGGACAAGGACGAGAAGCTTGCAGGGAGCGATAGCAACAACGTTTGGAAACACATTCGAAAGACGGTGTTTAGAAGGATCTGCCTGCACTAGGAATGCAGAAACTGGTATAACTTGACAAAGGGGAAGGCAGCTGTCGATTTGTTTCCCAACCTAAACCGACAAAGTCTCCACCGAATTTTTTCATTAATCGGAACCTTAACTCTCCACTCATGAGGTCATGCGACTTTAACGCAGGTTAACTGTTTAAAAACGCCAAATACATATTTTGAGTGTTTTTAGAAACTCTCCATTCTCCACAGACATGGTGCAAACGGACCTAAAACTTGTTTAGGATTGTGTGGATTTGTAATATAATTTACAACGTCTACAAAAGCGGAGTTTCTGAAAACACTCACATTGACGTATTTAAATGATCGTTGCCTTAAAAAAAATCGTATGATTTCGTGAGTGGAGAGTTAAGGTTCCGGTTAATGAATAAATTCGGTGGAGACTTTTGTCGGTTTTCAAAAGCTCTATACTTTTTGTAGAGTGGTTCAAGTTACTCCAAAATGACAGAAATTATGTAAATTCTATTGATTTAATAATATCTACACTTTTTTTAGAGTTCTATGCCCCAATAAACTTATTTTAATTTAATTCGAACCAAGGATGCATTTAATTTAATTTATTTTATTTAATATTATATTGAAAACATTAGTGCATTAAGATGTAATCTTTACTTGCACAATGATACAAACAAATTGCAAGAAATAAAATAAAAAGTACAGATAATAATTAATATTACAATATAGATTAAGGTAATGTGAACGTTGAATTACAAATCATATATTCTAAAATAAAACAAAGGTAAGCTTATAACCACTATTCTTGATCACGCTTGGAAGAAAAAAAGTTAAATATGAGTTTTTTGAAGTTGCCTATGTGCAACGCGTTCTTCAAGGACAGTGGAAGGGAGTTCCAGAGCCTTACCCCATTAATAAAAAACAGTCTTGAAGTGAATAAATAGTTAAATCTCGGAAGAATAAGACCTGACGAACGTGTACTCTTGGAGAACTTAAGTTTATTGTACAGATATTCCGGGCTCTTCGTGATAAATAATTTGAACATAAAAATGCAATTACGCGCGTTCAGAAAATTTTGTAAATCACAGCCAAGTATAGAATTACGCATAGATGAGAGATGATCGTATTTCTTTAAACCAAATACATACCTTGTGGCAGAGTTAATGGCGATATTCAATTTTTGGAGTGAATGAGAGTCTAATTTGCCGTAGACGATTTCAAAGTACGTGATATAAGGAACAATTAAACTTGTAATTAACTTTTTCTTAGTGGCTACCGGTACATAAGGTGAAGTTACTCTAAGACATCGTAGAGTAAAAAATATTTTACTCACAACTTCATTAACATGATCATCACACGCAAGTCTAGAGTTAATAACGAAACCCAAATTCCTGGCTTTGTCAACTAATTTAAGCTGGTTGGCACCAATAAATAAGTTGGGAATATCCGATGCCAAAAATTTATCTTTAGCGACAGGTATTACACAAGATTTTTGAGCATTGAGGCAAAGTAAATTCTCCCTAGACCATGCAAATATTGAGCTTAAGTCCTCGTTAAGTTGTAGACAAATATCCTGAATCGATCCAATTTTATTAGAAACATACAGCTGCACATCATCGGCATAGGCGTGTAAGCGCGCATGAGTGCAGGTGCTGAAAATGTCATTTATGAAAATGCTAAACAAAAGGGGGCCCAATATGGATCCCTGAGGGACACCAGAGTATATATGCACGAGGTTAGAACAATTATTGCCGATTTTCACCTTTTGAAACCTGTCGCTCAAATAGCTCTCTATGAGTTTTACTGCAGTTTTGCTGAAGCTGAAATACTTAGCTAGTTTTTCACACAATAAATTGTGGTTTACAGAATCAAAAGCCTTAGAAAAATCAAGCAGACAAAGTAGTGTTAAATGACCTTGATCGAATGGCTGACGTATATCGTCTAAGACTTTAACAACAGCAGTAGAACAGGAGTGACCAGCTCTGAAACCACTCTGCAGAGGGTTTAGGAGTTTATTTTTATGAATGAAGTCGGATATTTGCTGCGCTAAAAGCATCTCAAAAACCTTAGAAAGTCCTGTTAATATACTTATGGGCCTGAATTCACAAATCAGAGAGGCACCAGGTTTTTTGGCTATTGGTGTGACATTTGCTACTTTCCACTTGGATGGAAAGCACGAAGTGGTTAAACAGTGATTGAGTATGTGTGTAAAGCAAGCGAGAATGTAAGGCAAAATTAATTTGACAAACTTTATCGGAAGCTCATCATTCCCCACAGCATTAGATTTAATACTGCATACACATCTGGCCACTTCCTCCTCGCAAACGGAACTAAATTGAAATCTCGAGAGGGTGTGTTGGTCAGAAGACGAAGAAGTGGTATTTGTTACAGACGTGTAATTAGTCAAGCAACTACTTGAAGCAAAAAAATTATTGAGTTCATTGGGATCAAGTGAGCAGGGTATTTCTGAGCTTGACCGCACGCCCAACCTTTTCAAATTTCCCCAGAGCTGTTTAGGAGGCAACGATACGTTAAGCTTTGCGCAGAAGAAGTTCTTCTTAGCTAGCCGTACAGAAATAGTAGCCGAATTCCGGGCACGTTTGTAGAGGTTCCAATTTTCCTCTGTTGGCCTCCTTTTCCAGGTGTTGTAGGAAATATTACGCTTTTTAATCGCTAATTTAACTTCTTTGTTAAACCATGGACAGGAGCGTGACTTAGAGATACACTGGCGAATAGGTACATGCTTATTAAAGAAATATAAGATATTTTGTACCAAGAAGTCTAGTTTTTCGTCAGCAGTTACTAGCTGCCAACAAAAATTCCAATGGATCCGGTTTAAATCCGAAAACAACGCATCAAATTTAATGGCCTTATAGTCACGGTAATAGAACTTCGTCTCTTCTTCAGCTTTGTTATTTAACTTAAAGTCGAACGAACAAAAAATTAAATCGTGGTCAGAGATGAAAGACATTTGGTCAAACAAACGCACAGAAGTAGACCTTGGAACTATGAAAATGTCATGTTTCGAGCAAAAAATTTGTAAATATAGTAAGCAAACTCAAACCAAATGTTGTCTGTTTTTTGTCTTTATTTATCCACAAGTTAAAGCACACTGATTGCACCGCAATACAAGTGCGCGCTCTCATGACAAATCTTCGTATCATAAACTACCGTTATTCGAATACTTTTTTTGTAAGTTTTTCTATATTTAATGTGTAGTACATATGTATTGTATTTCATTATATTATGCGTATAATATAATATATGATAATAACCATTATTTAATTGCATAATAGTTTTGATAAATATTTTAGTTATAATTATACGAAAGTCTTCTTATACGATATTACAAAAAGGATATAGTAAATTTTGGAATACTAAAAACTAGCGGCTAAAATGTTTTTGATGAAATACATAAATCAAAAGAATATTAAATTAAATTGTAACATGGTAAGTTGTTGAGGCGCATAAAAAATTGTAAGAGGAAAAAATTTAAATTAAAAAAAAAACAAGTTATAAAAAAATTAAAATATTAAAAAACATGTTATGCAATTTCGAAATTAAGAACAAAATATTTTTTCACAAACGGTGGTGATAAGTTGTTGTGGCGCGTGAGAAGTTGTTAAGAGGGAAAATTTTAAATTAAAAAATATGTGATATACAACTTTGAAATTAAAAATAACAAAAAATTTTGATAAAACAAAAATTAAAAAAGTCAGGGTATAAATGCCTCGTAACTGTGTAAACCTCGTAAATAAACCGGGTTTCCGTACAAAATTAAACAATTTTACGAGGTTTGCGTGGATATGAGACTTTGTATGTAAATATTTAAAACCCGAAACGTTAGGTATACTAAATAAGTAAATAATATGAAAATACTCTAATGCCTTTGAATTTGATGTAATTTATAAAAATAACAATTTAATGTTTATTTTACATCTAAACGTTGAAATTTAAATTGTGCGACAGTGCAGAAATTCAAAACTAAAATATGTTTTAGTTGTAATTTTTTATATTGTAGATAATGGTTTCACTACTTTTTTTTTTAGTATAAGTATATTTTGGACATTATTTCTTTACACAATAAAAACGTCGTTATTTGCGACATATACCCTTAACAACACATTTAGTTGAATATGCATATATGTGTAAGTAGTCGTGTTTGTGTGTGTGTGTGTTTATCAAGTTTTTAGCCATATACGCTTATATTTTTGTATAATGTATGTATTTATATCCAAATTATTTACTGCAAGTGTTTTTTCTTTTTGTTAACGCTTAGCTTTTGGTATTTATTTATCGTTTAAGTAGTTTTTGCTGTATACAATTCTTAAAATTTCATTCAGTTTTCATACACTATTTGAAATCGTTTGTAAAATCACTAAATTTCTGGGGTATTACTTTCACTTCCACTTTTAACACGCTTTAGCATTCATTCAAATAGTAAAATTTTTTTGTTTCCTTTTTTTCTGTGTGTGTGATATTAGAATACATACATTTAGAGCGAAAAGTTGTTAATTTTTATTGTTTATCATTGTATTTTTTTTTTGCTTTGCATCTTTTTTTAGCACTTGATAATGTAGTTTCGCAGTTGTGTTTGAAAATTTTAACAATTTTTGTTAGTTTTATAGCAATTTTTGCATTGGAGACTTTTTCTGATAAATAATTTTCTCTTTAGTTTTGCTTAAAACCTTTTTACTTTAGTTTCTATTCTATTATTTATATGTATGTATATTTATTTCCAATCACTCGTGTCTTTCCTAAATTTTGTTTAGTAAAAAAAAGCATCGAAAATGTCAACAACCAAAGATAGCTAAAAAAATGTGCTGCCAAAAAATTATATACCAATCTCTCCACTCAATACCTAAAGCAAAAAATATTTTTCTTGAAAATTTACGTAGTATGTAGCATAAAACCGAGACTCAACAATAATTAAAGGTTTTAAGCGCTCCAAAAATGCCCATTTTTTGCGTTCTTAAGAAACTACGGTGTCAAAGTTAGAAAATTTCTAATCAGAAAAACTTAAATAGCGAGCATCATTTATTAAAAAAAAACTCTTTAAACTATTTTCCACGTTTTTTTTTCTTTTGGTGTGCGAATAAATATTTTGTTTACAAAAAAATTTCCAACAATTTCGGAACGGAGTCTCTGCTTCCATAACTTGAGCGTCACAAAAAGAAACATTTACAATTCAAGTCAAAATTTAAGCCAAACGTCCTTACGAAAAACAAAAAAAAATATCTCTCACGAAAGCCATTATTTAGCCGTACTCTTCACAAACTGTGGATATACAATCATGTTGTTATTTGAACATTCTTAACTTGTTACGAAAATCGCTGTCTTTTCATATACAAAACCACTCTTCACATCCTCATAAAACTCCTCAGGCATAACGCGTATTGCCGCAATAATCACTCACTGCGCTTAAGCCTGACTCTCATTTCTATTGTCTGCTTGTGGCGACTGTGGTTGTCCCAAGCGCGGCTCTCCATTTCCAACGGTCACCCTGATAGCGCCATTAATGTAAGGGGGCGGTGGCGTCAACTCGCCAGTAGCACGTACTGTATCTGCTGCAGCCGCAGGGGCAGCGATATTATCCGACTCAGTGGGGGCAGTAGCAACGGTTTCAACACTCTCAGCGCCGATGCTTGCTTCATTTCGTCTCATTGGCGGTGTATTTGCATTCACATGCACTGTGTTATTATTGTTCGGTGTATCATTGTTGTTGTCCATGGTATCGTCAGCGGTGACCACTGCAGCGCCAGCAGCAACCACATTATTGGCCGCATCTACCTCGGCATCGACACGCTGATAGTTGGACATAGCCACCTGATAGGATGGTGGTGGTGCTTGCTTCAAATACTGTGCAATAGCTTCGTCATAATTTGGCAAGAGTGTTGTGTAGGCGCGCTCTTCGCCCACCAGTCCAGCGCCACCCAATTCAGGCATCACACAAGGGAGAAGGGTGCGTAGATTTTGCTGACGCAGCGTAAGATACTTGTAACAACGCCAAACAACGCCGATGGCATAGGCCTTCAAGAAGACAATGCAAATGAAAACAACCAAAACGATAACCATCAGCTCTTCCTGTGACATCTCGAGTAATTTCTCGCGCCAAGGGAGGCGGTGTGATTCGGCGATTAGGCGGTGTATAGCTTGTAGGTAACAAATGTAGCCAGCAGCAGTGAGACTGTGTTAGAGAATTAGAAAGAAAGCTTAAAAAAAAGATTTTATATGATTTATGTTAATTTTAAACTTACGTAGTGATGGCAAAATCAAACAGCTGCAAACAGAAAAATGGTAACAAATGTGAGGGTTTACCCTTGAGTGTGCCGTAGATCATCATGAGTGTAATAGCGATCATACAGGTGCAAACTAAGCCGCCCATATCAAAATTTTCTGTAAAATATATAAGGAGAAATGGAATATAGGGTTTAGCAGGGGAAATAATGGATTTAAAAGTTTTATTTTTACTTACGATATTGTTTGCGATAGTTGAGCGAATGATCGCGATATGGGTATGGTGGATCCACCTTGCTAAGCGGTGTGGGCAAGGCGGGCGCGCTTAAATCGACTGTATAGTCGTAGCCGCTCTCGAGCTCTTCCATCATATGCGGATTGCGCCATATTACAGCGAGTAGACTGAGTGCCAAAATATTCAAAAACTGAAAAGACAGTTGAATTAGCAGTTTAGAAATTTTATAGAAAAGATAATCTAACTATAATTTAACTATAATTTAAAAACGCGAAAAATCATGTTTTCCAAACTCTCAGATTCTCCCAAAAAAGTCTACACTTTTTACTGTTTATAAGGAACCCATTAATTTTTTTAAATGTTTTATTCTTTGATATATTTTAGATAAGCAAAAAACTTTAAACTTTTAAGTGCTTTCAATAACTCCCTACTTTATTATAGAAGATATGCTAAATGATTTAAGAATACTAGTACATTAATGACAAGAGGTTTTTATTTAATCTTGGACAACACATTTCTAAATATATTTTAAAAACGTGAAAACCCAATATTCGCAACCTTGTTACGAATTTCGAAAAATTTTACAAATTTTTATCTAAATTTCAAGCTTTTCAACCAGAATTTTTATAAAATTTTTGAGTATGCAGTTAACAGGCTTATAAAATTTTAGTAAAATAGATGAAAGTACAGAGCGGCTAAAATTTTGCATTGATTTTTAATAATTTTTTTTGCTGACGGCTTTTGCGGTTTTTTTCATATGAGGAGCGAAATTTAGGAAAACTGGCGTTGGCTTTTATTTTTTTCGCAAACGGTCTTGCGCATAGTCTTCCACAAAAAATTCGTGTTTATTAGAAAAAACGGTGCAGAACGCCGTCAATAAAAAAAATTTAAAAATTAATGCCAGTTTTTTGCCGCTCAAAATTTACACTTATTTTACTAAAATTTTATAGGCCTGTTGATTGCATATCCAAAAATTTTATAAAAATTCTGGTTACAAAGCTCGAAATTTAGATAAAAATTTGTGATATTTTTCTAAATTCTGTATATAGTTTGACAGCGTGATTTATATGATTTTTTTTTTTAAGTATGAAACATATTTTTATAAAAAACTAACAAAAAATTTAGCTTGAAAAACATTGTTTTATTAAAAACGAAACACCATTCATCCTCTTTTGCCCGCCACTGTATAATATCGGGAAGGAAATAAATAGGAAAAAGTGCTAACGTTCTGTTATGAAGTCGATCGAAATAAGCAAACCACGATTTCAAAAGCGAAAATTGGTTGGAGTAACAAATACGCATATACAATTACATACATACATACATATGTACGAAGAGGCGTACCACCAGCTAAAAATAACATTGAAGTTTATTTAAAGCAAAATTTCCATTTATCGTGCGCGTCATAAAGACATGTCCGGCATGGTTAAATTCAATACAATTACTTATGTATGTACATACATATGTAGCATGACAAAAAGAAGACAATAAAAAATGTCAAGACGTATGAAAAAAAGCAGGCATCTGAATCTCAGAGCTTGAATTACAAATTAGTGTAAACTTCAATGAATGTTAAAAAATAATTAACGGGCGCAGCGCGCCAATGTTTACCCGAATTGTTATTAGATATTACGGCAGAGTCAGCTGAATTGAAATCACGTTTACAGGCAAGGCATTTATTTGCTTATTTTATATGATTTGTTATTTTATTTGTTGTATTTTATATTTTTTGAGTTGTATGCTTTATATAGCAATTAGCGCATTGTATCAGAAGGGCAAGCAAAAGTATATACCCTGACGTAGCTTCTTTTAAAAGCCGGAAAGCTGTCGAGACAAACGTAAATAATATGTATGTACTTCCAAATACATACTCGTATACTGAAATACTAAAAGTGTCTCACAAGAAAAGCGCGTGTTGCTGTTGAAGCGTAACGCGCCGTTCAATGGCCTGATTTTGCAAGATTCTTCGGTGATCGCGGACTTAGTGTGAAAGTATAAGTGAATGGGTTAATAACCAAAGGGAATAAGTCAGCAAACACCAAGTTTTATGATATTTGATGGATTTCCCTAAAATGAATCGAACTGCACCAAAATTTCCATATCGGAAAAATGCTTACTTATTCCCTCTGGTAATTAACCGATTCAAGTACTAACTAATTGACTCTATTCCCTTGATTCGGGCTGCTTTTTGAATGATGTCCACGATTTACTAGATTGGAGCGCACCGAATACCTCGTCGTTTCCCGAGATACCTTGCTACTTTGGTTTGGAGATAAACCGGTTTCGGTGTTGTCCCATCTTAAGTGTAATTTTTCGTTCTGAATAATTTCTGTTTGTCAGTCACTATTTATAGCCTTGCTAAATCGTCGTTGGTTCTTCTTCGTTAGGTACGTCTTAGCGGGCTATATTCCTTAGTTCACCCAGTAGTTGTTGTTCTGTGTATACATCCTCCTGCGTTCCATTTTTTATGGTAGTTGCAGGGTTTGTCTTGTTTAGGTTTAGGATAAGTTAAACTGGCTGGCTGTGCGCCATGGTCTGTAGAGGTACCAAATGAAGACTGAACCCTAAGTAGGCTTATAACAGACAACATTTCCGCAAGTAGGCAGTGACCTGTCTGTTGTTGTTGTTGTTGTCTGTAAACCTGTCTGCTTAAGTGTTAAACTGTTCCATCTCGGAATCACTTATCTTTGCATAACCCTGTTGATCTCATTTTGTATTTTTTTTAGACGTTATTTTGTGTCGTTTATACAGGGTGGCGACGAATTACTGTTATCCATTTTTTTTTAACCGACTTCCAAAAAAGGAGGAGGTTATCAGTTCGTCGGAATATATATATATTTTTTTTTTTTATGTATGTTACCGCATAACTTTGTACCACGTCAACCGATTTCGATAATTCTTTTTGCATCGGAAAGGGAGTGCCTCAGAGGAGGTCCCATAATAATCTGGTTAAGATCCGATCAGCGGATCATGAGATATATATATATATATTTTTTTTTTTTATGTATGTTACCGCATAACTTTGTACCACGTCAACCGATTTCGATAATTCTTTTTGCATCGGAAAGGGAGTGCCTCAGAGGAGGTCCCATAATAATCTGGTTAAGATCCGATCAGCGGATCATGAGATATATATATATATATTTTTTATATGGGAGTTGAAGTCGGTTTTTTTTTGCTAAAAGTTACTTGTTTTACTAAAAGGATCCTTTGTAGATTTTGCGAAAAAAGTATTTTATCGTAAATTTTCCACAGATTTTACTTGAATTTTATTGGTTAGTTTTTACACAAGCGGCAGCAAGTCTTCGTCGGTTAATTTATTCTATATCATTACACTTCTTTACACTCCCCCCTCCTGTCGAACATAAAGCCTCATACTCAGAAAACGAATAGACTCGGAACTGGTGACTAGGACGGCCATTCATTCGACCAACCCTTTCTTTTGTCTTTTTTTATACAAAGTCTAAGAAAAAATACACCTAAAAAGACTTGCGTGTACGTTTCTCCCAAAGTTAGCACTGCTGACAAATGGAAATAAGGATTTAAGTTTTAAAACTGCTTAATAAAATTAAAGTAAAATCTGTGGAAAATTAAGAATTAAATATGTTTTCTATTAAAAAACAAATGCATAACAGTTATTCTTCGCCATGCTGTACAACACGTAGGTTTGCTTTTCAAGTATAGGGTACTTTTAGTACTGGAACCTAATGCAACCTACATATTCGTAGCTAGCTTCTTTATTGCTTGCCTGCAAAAATGTGATATGCGTGAAATGTGGCTGCTGTTGTAGCAGCATGAAAATTAACGTCCTCGATTCAAAAAAGGCGGCGTCCTAAATCATCAGCATTGCCCCACCGATAGAAGAATTTGATGACAAATACTTAACGATTTCACTTAGCTATGCGGGGTTTTGTGACAACCCTACATGCATATTTTCCTATTTGATTCGCTTTTTTATCGCTCCCAATGTTTGCCTTAACACCTCATTCTTTTAACAAATTTGTTTAATTTTCTATTTAGCTATTCCTTCCTGCACTCTTTTTGCACAATTTATTTTTCTTGCATTTTACAGCCCGTCAGTCAGTCTAGGTGGTATGTTTGGACATCCATTTTGAGTTCCTGATAAGACGATTAATGCACGCAAAGATTCCACTATGGATTAGCTGCATTAAAATACTATAAAAGATTCATATTTAGTAACCAGTAGCAGCAATAAACCCGATCTTGCATTTGCATACCCCTAGCTCAGCTCATTACCATTCAGTTGCCAAGCGTGCTCATGCATCTCTGAAGCAGTTTTACTTTTTCGAACCGACTACACCAGGTACACCGCTGAGGTGCATGTGTCACGCTTCTATCTTTGTTGTATATGAGGAACTGCTATTCATAAATGAGCCAAAGATGTTTGCTTGCATATTTTGTGTTAAATATTTATCTTTTGAAGCAATATATCTCGTATGTTTGCATATGAGTTTATGTCTGAAATTCATTTTGCTTTATTTTTCTTTTTTGAGTTGATATATCGCTGGCTTAAAGGTGAAAAGTGGATAAGTCCAACTTTTATGAAAACTTACATTTTGATGCAGGAAGCAACGAAAATTAAAAATACATCTTTTCCCAAAAGACCGAATTACATACATATTTTTTATTTGTATTTTGTATTTTTTTTTTTCATATGAAGCCAGGTTTTGCTTTGAATACGCCAAAACGTTATCAAGGTTTTGAAAAATATTTGAATAAAATGAGTTTGGGAAGTTTTTCTCTGCTGCAACACTCTAAAATCCCTATCAAATTTTTGTTAATTAATGGCCAAATCTGTGGGGTGCTTCAAGGTTTTTATGAAAAATGGAAAAGCAACAATAATTTGAAAAACTGGTAGAAGTGATAGCTATTTCGGAAATCACCACATTTCCTCATCAGACTTCTTTCAGTAGGATTCGAACCGACGATCCCACTGACTCAGCCAGTTGCCTATGCACCGTGCTAAGTACGCCTTGTAAATTATCGTTTGCTTTTTTCCACTATTTTCATTTTTGTTATGCCAACACAATCAAGCGCAGCTATTCCGCTGCAATTCACTTGATCATGTGGTTGTTGGTTTTGTTGGTTTGTGCTAATAATTCTATTTTTAGAATGCTTAACTTTTAGGTGTGCTCGTCCTTAAGTTATTTGTTTTTTGTTATTTTTTGGCCTTTTAACAATTATATTCAACAATTTTATAATGAGCTCGAGGCCATTTTTTAAATGAAAATTTATTGTGGAAAAGCAACAATAATTTGAAAAAATGGTAGAAGTGATAGCTATTTCGGAAATCACCACATTTCCTCATCAGACTTCTTTCAGTAGGATTCGAACCGACGATCCCACTGGCTCAGCCAGTTCCCTTGGCACCGTGCTAAGTACGCCTTGTAAATTATCGTTTGCTTTTTTCCACTATTTTCATTTAAAACGGCCTCGAGCTCAATATAAATAGTTGAGTAGGTCCTATAAAATGTGATTAATATTTAACTACCTACTTATTAAAGTATGTTCTGCATTTTTTTTTTTTGTATCGAAGAATATAATATGTAACACCGCAAATTCTTAGCCACTGCAAATGTGCACCTTATTATTCTTAACAAAAAGTTTGTCGCAAAACTTTGTTGAATTATTATCATTTGCATTTGAATATTTCTCATTTTTCTACAAAGTTTGAAAATTAGACTTTCATATATGGTCGCGTCCCTATTATTTTTCACACGACAAAAATACATATTAGGCGATAAAAAAATTGTGCCATTTTTAGACAACTTTATATTTTGAGGTAAGGTTAGGAAATCTTTCTTCTATTCAAAAGTTTAGGTGGTTCCAAGGCGAATTTTATTCTATTGCATCATTGCTAAAAGATTTATAGGTCCTTAAAGGAATTTGATAACAAAAAATATTTAATCCGGAAACTCTAAAAAATTTGTATAAGCCGTTCAAGATTGTTGCACGTAGATTTAAATTTAATTTAATAGCTTAAAATTTATTAATTTATCACTTTCTCAACAATGCTCATAAAAAGTTCAAAGACGCCTAGGCCTGACAAAAAATGTTCCAATCAATTGCATATGTATGAGCGAACCACCTTTTTCCAGCTAATCAAATAAATCAAATAGAATAGAATAAATCAGCAAGGCGTTCAGTTCAATATGTATAACGTCATCATATGCACACATTTATATACTTATGTGCATGCATTCATTTACAAAACATACATACACATACATTTACATACATACTGTGTATTTGTACAAAACCTTGTAAAATGAAAACGAAAAGAAACAACAACAATTTAACTCATAATTAGTATTACTGTGCAAAGAGTTGATAGATAAGAATTTGCAAATAAGCAACTTCTGAATAATGCCTATCATATTGCCCGTACCATGCATTAAATATACATAGATGTATGTATGATAAATACATAATTATTTAAGTATGTATGTATACGTACATATGTAGATAACAGCAGCTACAGCTGTGTACTGCATATGCATATAAATATTAGCAACAAAAGCAAAGTCAATAGACAGCGCAGCCACTAGCTGTATAATCGCCAGAATGCATGGTAAGCATTGTAATTCAGAAACAATGGCGTTTGTCAGTACTCATAAAAACGTGAACTTATGGCAGAATACAATAACACAATGCAGAGATTCAGTAAATGATGGTTTAGTAGAATCTGCATGTATGGGTAAGGCATCTACGCTCTAAGCTTGATTATGTAATGCATTGTACACTTATATACAAGCACTTCAAGCGATAAAGCGGTACAAATGTTTAACAAAAATATTGATAGCAAGGTAACCACAAAAGATGGAACAGCTGCTTTGAGGGCTTTGTACTGCCATTCGAGCTTTTTTTTTTTTTTAAATACGTATGAAACAAGAAATGAGAAACCGTGCATCAAAGGTTATCGTTTAAGCAATAAACGTGGCTTAGCAAGAATTTAAATATATACATATATTTATTCATTGCTGGTTAGAGTAATTCGAATGCAAGCACACGACGGGTATACGTATGTATGTGTGTTCAAAGCTTAGACATTTGTTTGCGGTTGACTTTGGCGGCTTGCCTATACTAGGCGTATATTATCTCATGAGTCATCGCAACAAAAATATTTAATTGTATGTTTTATGACAAATAAGAAGTGTTGATACGGTGTGTATACACACACATGCGTACCTACAAACAGTATAAATAGCGTTTACACAAAAAATAATCATGTTTCGCACATTGGTGTTTAATGGCCGCTCAAATAAACTGCTTTCTTGAGAAGAAATAAAAATAAACTTTCGATTTTGCTGTGAAGCATTTTAAATTACATATATACACAAATGCTATGGGGTATAAGCTAGACTATTTAGCATTATGAAACGTGAACTGGCAATTAAAAAGGCAAAAACAGTGAAACAAAATAAACCAAATTTCTGGGAAATGGCCAAATAAGCTGTACGTGCTTGGTGAATAACTGCCTTACTTAGCTGAAAGCTGCTTTTGCTTAAACTCGTTTCAGATATAGTATTTACATACAGTATCGGTCATATCTATAGCACGCCATTTCAAAGTGATATTGTGTGCCACTTATGTTTATTTATATATTTTTAAGAATTTTCAATTAAAATATTGTTCATTTTCGGACAAACCCCATATATACCCAAGTTCAACAATTTGTAGAAAACTACAAAAAAGTGTAACAAATTTTCACCTAAATTTCAAACTTTTTTCTCGGTAGTGATAGAATTTTTTTGAGGACACAGTTTTTTAGCCCCTGCAATTTTAGTCTGATAATGTGCAAATTTCAAGTGGCTACGAATTACCGTTAATTTTTTAGAATTTTTTTGTCGCATTGGCTTCCATATAATGAATAAACTCAATTTATTTGTATATGGAAGAAAACCGCAACATCCTTGCCGAAAAAAATTCTAAAAAATCAGCGGTAACTTTTAGCCACTTGAAACTTGCACAGTATCAGACTAAAATTGATTGGGCTATAAAACTGTGTATTCAGAAAAATTCAAACACTTCCGAGAAAAAAGTTTGAAATTTAGGTGAAAATTTGTTGCACTTTTTTGTAGTTTTCTATAAGTTTTTAAACTTGGGTTTATATGGGTTTTGTTAGATTAAGAACTGTATTTTAATTGAAAATTCTTAAAAATAAATAAATAAACATAAGTGGCACACAATATCACTTTGAAATGGCGTGCTATAGATATGACCGATACTGTACATATGTATGTATATTCTGTGGCCTTAAAAAAATAAGTCAACAAAATTAATTTTCGGTGCGACTACCTAGATATTTATGTGGCGCTTCATGTGACATTAATTTTTTATGTTTTACTTTACTTCCTTTGTTGAGTCTTGCATGTAAGTGCATAATATATTTTCATTTGGTTTTTCAACTAGCTAGATATGGCAACATATTAGATAACGTACAACCACTTTTTTAAAAAATTGTATTGGGTTGTACACTAATGATCAAGGCGCGTTCAAAGTTGAACCTTTAAACTATGTGTTAACCTATGTACTTTGTCCTTTCTATAAATATAAGCAAAATCAAAATCTACGTCAATACAATAATCCAATTTTGTTCGCATTATTAACTAATCAACGTCAGCCTATAATTACCACCTTGTTGCGCCTGCTTTTCTTTCTACTTTCTACTGCAAGCGACAAATACTTTTCAAACTTTCTTGGTATTATTTTGCTTGTCCTATGCAGTATTTGTGTTTTCCCACCTGCCAAGAAATCTGCCACCGGCAAGGAAATCACCGTCCAAAGTAAACACAATCGGAAACCACTAAAATCACACATATGTACAAGCTTTTGCGCCCAGCAAGCTTCTATACATACCATACATTCGCTTCTACATAAATATTAAAAAAAAAGAACTCACCAAATGCCAGAGGCCAATCATAATGGTGGCGGTATGAACGTGCAAACCAAAGCAGCAAGTCCATTCTTTATTACGCTGTTGTGGACCCATTTTGATGCGGATCCTTAGCATCGAAATGCCTGCCTTGTCGTTGTTGTGCTGTCACTAGACACTTTACACCTGCTCCTTTTATAAGTGTTCTGCTTACTGAAAAACGAAAAGAGAACAAAATTTGCACTTAAATTTAGATCAATGTTACTTTCTTGAAATGCCATTGAAAGGCCCAATAGTATAAAGAAAATTTGCATATATGTAGTACAAGAGGTCACAACACAACAATTTACAGCAATTTATCTTCAATTCATATTCATTGTGCATTAATTACCTATTTATTATTAGTTTATACAACCAAAAATTTAAAGGAGTTCCAAAAAATATATTTTTTTATATTCTCCAACAACGGCGAGGTCTATTTCACAAATTTTCACTTGCAAAGCAAAAAACGCAATACAGAAAAATTTACCAAGTCTCAAAAAATCACACAGAGTTGCACGGCTATCGGTGCTGCCAGAAAAGGATCAGTTTGAAAAGTAATGCTGCCACACCATCTCTTTATTATGGACAAAGAACGTAAATCCAAAGAACGTAAATCTAAATAGGTAAAAAGGGTAATTTCATACATAAATTACAACTTTACAACTTCCATACTAAAGAAGAAGTTAATAAAGGTCTTGCATAGCGCATTTACATATTTTATTTATTTATATTTGTTTAAAATCATAAAATGAAGTAGATCCAAAGAACGTAAATCTATAAGAAGAGACATATGTAAGTACGTACGCATATTGGAATGAATGTAGATATCTTTGGAAGGAAATCGCATGTGAATATTTGGACAAATTATTTATTATTATTATTATTGTTATTTAATTTATTGATTGTAAATGTATATTTTGGTGGGTAATTTCATTCATAATTATTACTTTACAACTTCCATATTAAACAAGAAGTTTGTAAAGGTCATGTATAGCGCATGCACTTAATTTACTTACATTTGTTTAAAATTATAAGATAAATTAATTTATGCACATGCACATGCAAATCGTTAAATGCCTTCGGCAAATAAACAAAAAGAGTTGCGGCCATTTTGTTTTGTCATTTCATTTCTTTATTTCTATCATCAATCACTTTTTCTCCACGTTCTTTGTCGCCGCGAATCCAAATGTGCGGCGAATTCATTTACGAAACTTGATGTCAAAACGGACGCGAATTCCTCTTGCAAACCTTCTAGACTTACTCGCCACACTTCAGCGAGTTGTCTCTTCTTATAGATTTACGTTCTTTGTTACATATATGCCTTTCAGACTTCACTCGCTGACTTTAGCGAGTTGTCGCTTATAGATTTACGTTTGTTGTCTTTGATAAGATCCTGAACAGCCCTTTTATTTTTCAGTGTTGAGGGATATTGGCCGCTGGCAACTCTCCAGCCATCAAAACGATACAGTGGCTGTCAAATATTTGGTTGGGACCAAAATGCACTACCGGAATCGGTTAAGGACCAAATAGACAACAATTGACGTCAAAATAAGCATCTGCTCCCTTTTAAATTGCACCCGCATGCAACCCTAGCAGCTGACAATGGTTATAAAAGAGCGATTTTTGTTAAAAGACACAGACGTACGGATGGGGATGTTGGTCATTAGAGGAGCTGTTAAAAGCGCATAGGATACGTTAAAGGAAGGAAGGGCAATAAAAATATATTTTGTAATAGAGTGCTAGAAAAAATTTAATTAACAACAAATAGATATTTAGCTCTAACGCACGTGTGACTGGCACAGCAAAATGGTCTTATGCAAGGAGTATCGCATTTGCATGCCGCTCACAGTAGAAGAGGTAAGTGTGGACTGCTTATTAAATATTGTGCTGTTCCACAGTAAAGTACACCCTTTTCAATGTATGTACATATTTGAATAATGCATCTGTTATTATTTTAGTATCGTATCGGACAGCTGTATATGATTGCGCGCCACAGCTTGGAACAATCGGGTGATGGCGAAGGCGTTGAAGTTGTGGAGAGCTCTGAATGTGAAGATCCTGCTCATGGCAAAGGCCAATATACAGAAAAACGCATACATTTGTCAAGGTGAGAGGGAAGAGGTGCATATAGTACATACGTGGTAGTGTTAAATAAATAATATAACTCATTTCCTAATTTTTCTCTATAGCCGGTTACCATATTGGGTACAATCTGTTTGCCCGCGTGTTTTTTATATCACAGAAAAATCTTGGAATTACTACCCATTCACAATTACAGGTAACGGCTGAAATGCCCAAGTCATCATTCATATTTATACAACATTTATAATTTTCCAATATATATTTTTTCTACTTAAGTTTTTTCATAGTTTTGCCATTTAATTAAGACGCATTCATTATCTTTTTATTTCATCGTTTGTTTTTACGGCCAGTATGCCATTAATAATCCACCCAACCACCTGTCGGTTGTAACGTACATAAGCATCTGCATACATACATAGTATATATGCACATATTTAGTTATACATAGAAATACGTGGATAAAATGTGTTCCTTCTCGTAAACCTATTTATAGTACAAATATTAAATGCTACCCGCCCACTCATTACCTCTTTTTTCACGCTATTCATCCGCACCAAAGTGTGTGGCATATTAAATTGTTTTGTATTTTAGTTGAATGATGCGCTAACAATTTAATAAATATACTCATGAGCTTGCGCATTTTAGTTCCGTTCCGAATTCCAAATTTTAAATAATTAATAACACTTGCATCATTCCCATTAAAAACTTACTATTCCTAGGTACACGATAGTAAATTCTGTTTTTAAACAATACTTGATAATCACGAAGGGCATTCATTGCATGCTCACTTAAAAATAGCTGAAACTCAATACTTATGGAGGGGGCTCGCGTGTTTAAAGCTTTTAATAGCAGTAATTCGATACAAACGTGTGTCATAACATTTCCTGATACAGGTGTTTCAAACACTTCCTTGCCTTTAGTTCCGGTAATTTATGGCTTTGGTACTGCCGACGTTAGCTAAACACGCAAAATGTGGGTGGTATGTCGGCGCCATTTTTACACACTTTTTGCCCTAAACTGTTGGGTGCGAATTGGCACATTTATGCGTCCCTAATCTGTATCGTTTGAGACATTCTGCCGGAAGTTTGCATATATTTACATACATATCGTCGTTTAAAGTACAAAACCGCGTATCAAGAAAATTCCAAGATTTTGTAGGAGGGATTAAGGCTAGTCCTATTTCAAAACGATTTTCTCTTGTATCCCTAATTATCTCTTCTTCTTATATCTAAGTATCGATATTAGGGATAAATGGATTAGGGCTTGATGCCAAGAGCTTCCGGTGAGCAAATATTTTTTTGACACAAATGTCAGTTACGCGGTCTTGCAGAATGACGATTCGCGGATTTGTACTTTAAACGACGATATGTGAATGACGCAGCATCTGTCGCCTGCCTGAATGCGCTCTACAACAATTAATTGCATGCAATATAAATATACATAAAAAAAAAAACTATACATCCAAGGGCTTATCGCGCACAAACACTTGTGCACAAATGTTTTCATTTTCTTCTCTTAGATATGGTATTAAAACGCTTTCGTTTTTAATGAAGCTAAAGTGCATAAACTACATAAGTACGCAGTCAAAAACAGTGTCAACAAACTCACAATTGATATGAGTCGGCATGTTTACATTCAAAGACATACATACAATACAAAATAATTGATTACACTAGTTTACAAATATTTAATTAATGAATTGTAACTCTTCATAGTGATATTTTTGTAATTTAATTTGGTTTTGCAGAATACAGATATGTGTGTATGTAGTATGTGCATGTATTCATATACAACACATAAGATAATTTAGTTAGGGCTTGTTAAGTGAAGCCATTCTAAAAATCTTACCCAAAAGGGACCGCTTGGCTGCATGTCTTCTAGGAGCACTTTTCCTATTTAGAATTTCCGCGAGAGTATAATTATATTCAGCCTTATCATGTGTTTCATTTTCCCCGAACCGGTTCACTTTTCACTCTTGGTTTCCATGGTTTTACTATGGGCGGATGACAAATTTTCGGGTGATTTTTTTTTTCAGGCGAAACTCAGGATAAGGCAGATTATTTAGCATTTTAAATGAATTTCATTATGCATACTAAATTAGAGAAGTATTGTTTTTATGAATTAAAGAAGCAACTTCAGAAGAACTCCTCCAAAATGCCTTCTGAAGTTCGTCCTTCAAGAGCCCTTCTGGAAGCCCTTCTATGGTTTGCGAAAGCAGAAGTCCTTCAATTTGTGTTACTCCCTACAAAACAGATTAAAAGAAAGAAATGCAAGGTGGAATATCAGGAAGGCCTTTTAGAAAGGCTGTTAGCTCCTGTATCATACGAAGTTTTAGAGATAGAAGCTTTCTGGTTCCTTTTGCAGTTATTGTTGAAAAAAAACCAGAAAAATTTATCATATTGTTCGCCAGCGTTCTGTAATCATTAAATTTTTTTGTAAACTAGTGTTATTGAACAGCATTCATATATGCACAGCGCGGCACTTAGTTGTTAAGTCGCTTATTGCCTACATTTTATCTGGCACTTAATATTCACTAACTGTTTTCCTATCACTGACCCATTATCAGTGTACAATAACATTGCTTAGTGTATAATATATAACTCCTAGCTGGCGCGAATACTTGTTCATGATAAGCTGATGTTAATTAAGTTTTTTTTTGCAAATGTTTTCGTAGAGTGAATCGGCGATTAAATGCACAAAAGTATGGACTTGCAATAAACTATATGCATATAGCACATTACGAACGTCGTTGTTGTTGTTGAAGCAGCGCGCCACCCGCAACCCAATTGTGTTTTAGGGCTGCGCTGAAATATGGGCCATTGACTGGGTTTACCCGAGTGGATCTGGTATTATTTATAGTTATTTCTGCCATGGTTCTGAAACACCACTGTACGGGTGCTTCTTTGCCCCATACTGATCAGTTTCCTAAAAATTAAATATTGCTAGTTACAAGTATATCTGACTATGAGTATACTCTACACGAGGCGGTTTTAATAACTCTAAGGGCCAGTTTCCAAGTGCCAGTTTAAGCTTAGATTAAGTGAACTGAGTTTAAACAGTTGGCAGACATTTGATTGGCTGATCTTAGTTTAAACCAGCCAGATCGGGCGTTTGAACTGAGCTTAAGCCACGGCCGTGCACTGAAGAACTGGCCCTAAGCGTAATATTCAATACTAGTAAGGTTCTTAGCTGGAAAAGGCCCGATTTGGGAGTGTCTACCGTTAACGACAGCCACCATACTTTGTTTTGTTTTCTTAAGTTTGTTTTGTGGTCATCTTTACATATTGCACGTTTGCTGGAAGAATGTCATAACCCAAAATATCGAAATGGCGAGTCATCCTTAACTAAAAAAAAATGCTTGGGTTATGACGTTCTTCCAGAAAACATGGTTTCTTTCATTTCATATTCATTCCGCACTCTATTGC